ATTAGCTGGTTCAGGTGTGTCTAATTGGGGTTGGATCTAAACTCTGCAGGACATCGGCACTCCAGGACCGAGTTTGGACAGCCCTGCTCTAAGGCGAGGGGCGCACTGCCTGAGACAGCATTACACAAGAAGGCTCTCGCAAATGCTACCTATACTCCCCACTCGATGCCTCAGCAAGAGGGGATATCCTGGAGCCCGGACATCCAGGAATTTTTTGCAGTGTCGTGCCGGGGGCCTGATGATCAAGAAGGCTCCCGCAGAAGCCTCTGACCTGGCCGCATGGTCCAGGAAGCATGAAGCCGGAACCAGGGCTATCATACCGGCTGGACACAATATCGACGAGTGAGGTAACACTGCCAGTCGAGCACCTGGTTTCTGAATCCAGCAAAGGGGTGCTCACAGAGGACCTACCTTAAAAAGGACAGAAACACACAGGTCCCGGAAAACGCTGCAAAGAAATCTCACAGAAGGATTATACACACATAACCACCAGCACATTAAAAACATATATATATATATATATAGATATATATAGATAGAATGGATCATACTCACCCACCATGGTCCCCGCGCTGGAGCCCCGTTCAAGAGGCGACTCAAAGAAGCTTCTAGTCCAGACCATCAGCAAGGTGGTCACTATGAAGCCATAGAACCACCCAAACATATAGGTCCAGCATAGGAGACGGGAGCTTTTCATTAAAATACGCTCACAATGAATGCGGATTGCCCCCTCAAGGACATCGCGTGCGTGCTCTTTGCCCAAACAAACAACGCAGAGATCGTGTGTGTCATCAGGTGTCAAATAATGACGATGCGGATGCACACACCCTCTAAACGCTTTGCTAGTGCTAGCCATAACGATAGGAATATAGATCGCTCTTACCACGGAAATGCATGCTTCAAACAAAACCGTCAGTGAAGACGAAGAAGAGAATGACATGTTCTCCCGGCGCCTATTTATACTATAATGACAGTGATGTCATGGGCTGTCGCCAGCCAACGTGTTGTTGGTGTTTTTTCAATGTATGCTTCAGACACGGGTCACGACGAGGCGTTCCCCATAGCGACCCCTAGAGGACGCAGTTCAAAGTTCCCTTGAAAGGGAAC